CGATGTCGTCTCACGACCAACGAGCACCAGAACAAACATCGAGACTGAAATGCACCAACTTCTCATTCAATCAGCTAACGGTAATAATGAGAAGAGCATCGTCATTACGAACTATACGAGCAACAAATCCATGATACAAAGTTTCAACTACAGCAGCAGTAGTAAGTGAGTTTCTAACAGAGGCTCGCCGACAGCACTAGCTAGTGGTCGTAACCCTGCACTAAAAACTTGTATAATGCAAGTAATAGTAGCAAGTATTATAAATTCTTGTTGTTCGTCATGTAGCTCATCAACACGAGCTCGACAGCAATAGACCATCGAAGCCTATTGCCAAAGAAGAGCAAGCTTTTTAAGGATCAAGTTGGAGATAATCCACACTGCACACCGTGGCTTCAGACTCAACGTGATGAACCACATCATGACCAGGCTTCACATCATCACTCACGATGCGTACCCTTTTATTCTTCTTCTGATCCTTAGGCACACGATAGATGAACCAGATGATCATTTGAGTAGCTCCCAGAACCTGAACGAGAAAGTTCCGCTCCGTTGAACCTTTCTACTCCTATTCTCACCACTCCAGCAGCATTAGGAATCATAATGTGCATGTCCCCTGTGAAGAAACCATAACCAAACCACACGATCGCCGCGAGCCATCCGCCAAGCGAATACAACGGTGGCATACACGACGAATCCTTAGTCTCTGAAATGCAATGCTGTCAAAGTGAAAGCTTGGAGTGAGAAGTTAGAGCCTACCGATGATCGTCTTCAACACAGCAAGCGGGGACGCATACATCAAAATGTTCACGAAGACGCAAAAGCTCCCCAATGTACTACTAGCATCACTAGAAAAGAGCAAGGAACAGCACATCTAAAGCGAAAACACTCGAGTACAAAGGCAATTTCAGAGAGGCACTTACAATGAGCAAATAGCAAACCACCAAGCCAAGGTAGTAGAGAATTGTCATCCTCTTCTCAGCAGCATATCTCAGGAATACCTAACATGAGCAGAATATAACTAAATATACTATATATAAAAGCTTACCAGCATGTACGTGATGAACACGCAGGAACTGAGGGAGTTGATGAAAAGGATCGAGTTGCGTCCAGGTGTCTAAAAGGGGAACCATAACAACCTCAACGAAATCACCAAGCGGTCTTATTACTATGAGAGCATATGAAACCCAC